TTGGTAGTTATCCATTTATTCAATGCATTTTTATGTTAAGTTACTCTACTTAATAAAATTGTTCCTAGTAACTCAATATATCATCTAACAAATTATGATTTATTCACTTAATGATTTTAGAAATACAGTGGCTAGATTTAAGGTTAGCCTGGTAATTCACAAAAATCTGCCAGTCTCTAAACTCTTTAGTGAGAATTATTGTTTGCTATTCACTTGAGAAATGTCTTCATTTGTCTCACTAAATAAAACCTTTTAGAATCTTAGAAGGAACAAAAATCTCATAGTTGTAAATATAACTCTCTGATGATATTTGACGTTACAATAACCTCCAAACTGTTTCCAATCTTTTTGGAATTTTAGAGTGGTCAGCCTTCAGTATTTTATTCTAGTATATTTCGACATGGGCTAGTTTTCTCCTATCACAATTTAAAGTACAACCTCATTGAACCAATTACAATCATCCACACACCTGTTAATTAACTGACATTACTCTATGGAAAAAAATGCTGTGATTCTACTACCGCGTACAACATAAATTAAACACTCTGATTAATGGACCTCCCCGTCTAAGATCAAAGTTATGAACGTATTAGTCATTCAAATCAATACATTTTTGGTCCAAGTACTTCCTCATGTCTATGTTGTACTGATATTTTTATAACTCATTCCAATGCTTGGACTACACTAATAAGGTATGAGACAAAGGATGTGATCTAATTTAGAGTCTCACTCTACTTTCTCTCTTCCTATCAGATATTGTGTTTGTCTGTCTAATTACAAACTTAAACACCCACTCATTAATATTATTATCATGTCAACAATGGAAGATGTGCACAGAGTGAGCTGACTTGGTTAGATCAATCTGTCCACCAACTAACCTTTCCCCCTACTCAATCTTCGTCTCATTTTGTTCAAGTTTCTAAAGTTCTGACCTTATTTATACTTGAATCTAGCTAAGCAGAATTATTCATATGACCATATGGCTCTCTCACAAGGTACTAATATCTCGATACTATTTAGGCTCTCAAAAAATCTGTTTTTACAAATTTTAAGAAGATACAAAATTCAATACAGGTAGACAGCTGTTTAACTAGGCAAAGACTAGGGGAGTTCATTAAATAACTAATTATCTCCATATTTATGCATCATTTTCCCCTTTTCTCCGAGAATAGACTAGCGTAAAAATTTTGAATGACTAATAATATTCTCAATCATACCATAGATCCAACTTCAGAAATAATAAATGAAGTTGAGATGATAACCTGGGAATAATCATTTAGTGTTCTTTGTATTACTTGATCATTATTCACCTGATTTAGTTACAAAAGAAGCATTTCTGTCTCAATCTCATCGATTATTTTACAGATTGTAAATAAAAGGTGTTCAACCATTTGCACTTCTTAGCAAGTAGATATATGAAATAATTAGTGAACGAATATTCCTTATGGAACTCTTTATACGTACCATCCAGTGTCATTGCTATAGATGTTGTATGGAGTTATTCAGACTGATATTCATCTTTTTAAAAGAAGTTTCGATATATGTTAATCTAACTCTAATTGAACTAAGTTGTGTTCGTGATAGATTCATTGTTATCCAAAGTACTTGAATAATGTTGTTCTACATATTTATTTTATCAGAAGGGGTTTGGCGGAGATTTTAGTAATTTATTAGTTAAATTCATGAGCCGATTGAAGCTAGATCGAGGGTGCGCACTACTGAGGAGTCCCATACTAGGAAGAAACAGTCGTCCAGTGCTTCTAGGTTTTCCGTGGTAGTCTAGCTTCAATTGGCTCATGAGTTCAAGTATTTGTTTTATGAACAAAAAGAACGTCACTTGAAATAAAAGAAAACCCAAGCTGTCGCACCGTTCAAATAAATGTTAAGAAGCTGTCTACCTGAGCATTAGTTCAGTTCTAATGATCAAGGGCTATAGTGAACAAATAGAATAATAGGATTGAGTCAGATCTAAGGTGAATGTCTTCATTATGTCTGAATTCAACGGTTAAGTCTAATCACTCAAATATTCACTCGCAATTTAGATAACTATAACTTCCTTGAACGTGGTTCATAGTGATTTAAGTTCAAATCTAATGGGGGAAAATATTCGCTCGCAATTTGCATATGTATTGTTGATTTATTTCTTAACTTTAGCAGACGAAATACTATGTGGAGATCTATATTGTTTTGTTGATGTTCAATATATGTGTTACTAACGTATTATAATGTTTATGAAATTTAAGTCATACACTTTTGATTCATTACTTTTAATTTTTTCCCCAGTTTGTTTAAAATCAGGTAGACCAAGTTTCCGACCACTGTTCTGAAAGAATACTTGTGCTGTTTAAAACTCATCAGCTGTGGCTAATTCTAAGTCTTTTAAGCTTTAGAAGGGTCATGATACCATCTAACTAAAGAGTTGAGTTCATTTGTCGGTATTTTTCTCACCTCCAGTTATTTTCTAATTAGATTCAATATTATCAGTGGGAAAATATCTCACTTTAGAATTGATCAACTATGTAAGTGACATATTCCCTCTAAAACTTTAAGAAATCCATCCTAGTCATATCATATTGTTTTGTAAATTACTCTTATGCTTTACAAAATTTCCGCAAAAGCGCATACATGTTTAAACTTTGGGATTTCTATGTTTGAAGAGATTAAAAAATACCTTAAATCAGTGAACAGAATGAAAGTCAGTGGCACAACGACAAAACAATCCTAACCATTCCAATGCGTCCCAGCTCCACCAACTAGAGACAGAAGATCTGGTTCAGGTGATGGAAAGGTATATTCCACAAACAGCCAGAAAACATGAACAACCAAGCACACAACTCAAGCGTATGTATACAGCATAGAAATGTCCTTGGGAAACGTCACAAAATAGCGTATTAAGAAAACAACGAACCAATGATATCTAGGGTCCTTCCGAGTGGGAAATTCAACCTGAAGATAAAAATGGGAGAAAACAAAAAATTCAAATTTCCAAAATAAAATCACAAAAATAAGACAATAACCAAGTGATTGCTGAGGCCCTAGCATCTCCAACAGGGATGGAGTGTCTTATTGATGGTAGCTATAGGATTTAGTAAGTAAATGTTAATAACTACATCAGTGTGAAAAAACACATTAACCAAGTGAATTTAAGCTTCACCCGGTTGCACAATCAAGTGGCTAGCAGGACTCAGTAACTAGGCGGATAACGCAGTGGCGTTTGAGGCGAACAATACTGGATTCGAATCATAGAGTGAACATCAACACTGAGATGCAGGTAGATCTGGCCGATGAGTCCCGAGAGCGACGAAACGCGCGTCCTGAATTCCACTGCTAGCCATTATCCATATTTGCTTATAGTTATTGTCAATATTATTCTTAAAATCAATTATTTATTTAATTCATAAGAATATACTAGATTGCATAATTTAAACGTTTTTGCGATAATTGTCAACAAAAAATAAACTTGTGCTTCAAATATCAAATTTGTTCTTTGGTAATTTATGTTGTCAACAAAAAAATATTTTATAATGATAATAACAATAGTACTGCTAATACTAATGTCACTAATATCAATTTCACATGAAACCGATCACGCAATAAATATCGAGAAACAGAATTTATGACTTTATAAAACTTACATAAATCTTTCATAATTTAATTGAGTTCACTGGTTAGTGAGAGGTTTATTTCACAACTCTACTTCATATTTATATTTAAAACACAATACATTATTAAATAGATCGGTTGAAGTTTGAACTTGGTCCTATTCTCAGAACTAGCATATTTATGTGTTTGTATACTTGGAAGTTACATTGAAGTTGATTTATGTGTAACATTCCCTACATACTATATTATATTATGTAATAATCATCATTAGAAGTGGAAACTTGTCAATATGACGAGGACTACTTTTGTAAACCGCTTTTTTAAAAACTATTTTAGTATATTTGACACGTGGGTGCAACTGACATCTAGGACGTGCGTTTCGACCTGTTTGAGACTTGGACTCCACTCCTAGCCACATACCACATATACTAGAAACTTGTGAGTAAATGCCAAGTCGACACAAATCGATCAGGATGTGAAAATGGCGACAGAGACAGGCCGCTTGAGATCCTAAATGTCAACAATGGAATATTACTAACCTAGTATTAAACCATTTTTCATACTTTTAATTCTCGAGAACATATTTAGTTAAGTAGCCAATGATTCTGTTTTCTGAAGTTTATTTTATCAGGGATATCTATCCAAGGGACAATTATCAGTTCATCCACCTCAGTCATTCTAGTATTTCAAGTCAAGTTTATCATGTCAAAACTTCTCAGTATGTGTATACACATATATAGCCGTAAATATATTTTGGATAGTGGTCTGCTTTGTAATCCGGGATATGTGTTGCGTCTCATTCAGGACTCAAGCTAGATGCAGCAACGTCCCGGTGTTGAGGATAACACTAACCAAAATATAGTCGGCTTGTAAATATAAACAGTATCTAGGATTCCTTGAAGGAGCTCATAGGCTAAAAAAGATTGGTCAAACGCAGCCCTGAATACAAACAATGGGAAAAACAAACCCATACAAACAATGATAACCGTTAGGATGACTAGTAAGGCGAATATTTTGGTAAAATACTCCCGTCTTTAAAAAATGTCAATAAGAAATGCAAATTACTTCTATAGTATAGTATTATCGTGTTCATATGTGTTTACAGAATTACTACTCAAAGGACGTGATCTGCTCAATGATTCACCGTGCCAAGGCATAAACTGCTAGTATACAGAAAAACGAAACAATGAATTTAGGTATGAAAAGTACCCTGTGGTAGAAGATTGGGAGAAGTTCAAATTAAAACAAAACAACTACAAATTAGGCTTCGCTCATTGGTAGACGTAAATCACTTAACGTGTGTCTTGAACACGATCATATGGAAGTAGATGATCTGTCAATTGATAGATAAAATTATATTTATAGTATTTATTCACATTAATATTTGTTTGTGTGTCATGAAGTTTGCCTCAATGACTTTCCTACCACCTTTTATCCCATCCATGAGCAGATCTCAAAGACTATAGAGGTCAGTAAGACAGGGTGGTAGGGGTTACGGAATCATAGAAAATCATAGATAGATAGAACGATGATTCAGCTGCTTTATTCTATTTGTTCAGACCACTCATCCATTCGCTTACTCATTCATTGCATTGTGTCCCATACGGTCTGGTAAAAAAGAGGACTCATCCTATTACTTTGTCAATTTTCCAAACAAAAGTTTACGATCTGGAATTTGAGATCCTACTTTGTTCAACTAGTAAACTAGAATTTTAAGTGAATAGTGGATATAGTTGTTTCGAATGACTTCTGATTCATTAAGAAGGAATCCTTTAAGTGAAAAACAATATCAAATTAATGGAGATGGTGGCGTCGTTTGCCGTGGACTAAAATTTGACGATGTTCATTATTCCAGTTTTGAGAATCCATTAAAGAGAGAGTTTTCTCCTAATTCTACTGAAGTACAGAAAGATCATTGTACAACCGATTCAGCTTATTCTCTTGCAAATGGTGCTACTTGTCTAATGCAATCAACATCACCATCTAGGTCAATATTTTTACCAGTAAATCAAAATAATTCGAATATGTCAAATATCTATGGTGGAGGTTTTCGTTACCATGTTCGTCGACCTGTGGAATCGTGGAAATTTTTTGAGGTATATCTACTTTTTGATATTTAGTTTTAGTCTATGTGGTTTGTAGTGTAATTCTCTGTATTTTTATAATTGTATTTTAAATGCTATAATACTCAGTCTATTTGTTCAAAACTATGATGTGGTCAGATGGAGATTATTACTAGTACGTGAATTATGGTACAGACAAGATTATGTTCACCACTAGAAACTATTTATTGTCTAATTCACTAGTAACAAAACTGATTATGGTTGGAATTTTTTAATCTGTAGTGTTCCTGTCAGATAGTACTCGGTTTAAGTTTATAGATCGTTATATTGGGTCATATTGCTTAACTATTTAATCGTATTAAATTTCACGTCTGGGTTTTAGTATATTCTAATTGTATTTTAATGACTTGATAGCTTATGGTAATATCCAAACCTATTTCACTTTATACAAGTTTCAGTAACCAATTATGTGTCATCCTCTTGTTTTTGAATCGCACTAGTTATCTAAACACTTGGGATATTAACCGATAGTTTGAATATAATTTGATTGCAAAAGGAACAATCGGGTGTGATTTTTGATTCATTAAATTAATTTAATATATGGAAATTATCAACAGATTTCATTGGTAGATCTGACTTCTTTCAGGGACCTCATTTAAGAAAAATTAGGGAATAGTGTAGGTTATGATATATAGAGAAAATAAAAGGCTGAATTTTTTATTGCTTACATTTGGATGTGAAATAAAGTAGATAAAAAGAGAGACATCAGATTGATAGATCCATTAATGTTGTGCTACGGAGTCCTGTTTTTTTTATCTGTGCGAGGAAGCAGAGGGTCCCTAACGGTAGTTTATTACAATTTTAAACATTCGGTGGTATCATCGAGATAATCGATTTCAGTGTTTTACATGAACTCATTTCAATTTGTACTTCCTATAGTGCTAAAAAATACGTCTCACTCTAAATCCAATACATTTTTATTCAATGTTTTATAAGTTATTTTGTCTTCCAATTATCTGTTTATTTCTTCATCATTATGTTTGAAATACAGGTTCAAGATAAAATGGTTGAATTTAAAATATTAAGTTTTCCAATACTTACAGGTTTTTAGTGGTGGTCTAGCTTATATCGACACAAATTCAACAGTTAAAATTACTACAATCTCCACAGACCCTCCATTCTAATAATATTCATCGTGTGTTTACTAGTAACTGGCTTCAATATGAATTTCCTAGAGTTCTAGTGAGAAGCCATGACCCGTAGAATCCAATCTATGTTGGGTAGAGAGAGGTATCCACCTCAGACAATGGTCAAATGGTTGGGCAAGATCATGGATCGATTAAAGTTAGGCAATGACACCGTCGGATGTCGAATCAGTGGTCTAGAGGTTAAGCACTCACGTAAGCGACCGAAGGGCTCGGGTTCAAATCCCTTTGGTGTGGGACCATAGATGTACACTTTTGAGTCCCATACTGGAACGAAACTGCCGTCCAGTGTTTCCAGGTTTTCAACGGTGGTCTAGCTTAGATCGACTAATGAATTCGACTTAAATATTTTGAAGATGGCTACCGAATTGGTTTAGCTGGCAGCAATGTATCTAACTTTTCACTTTGAAAAATGAGCGGACTACTATTGCTTATGATCCTGTTTATTTAAAATTCCATTGGTTCAACTGCGAATTCAATAGATATTAAGTTAATGTTTTATTCATTTTTTTATTTGATTTTTCTCTTTTATACTTCATGAATTGGTGATTTGGTGGTTAAAACACTCGACTTAAAATCTATTATGGGTTTGTATACAATTGCACTTAAATTGGTTTACTCCTATAAGTAAGAATGAATAGCCTTTGGACTGAAGTGTAGTTCAAAACCACAGTACAAAAAATGTGTATTGCAGTTTCATTGTTAGTATGAGTGATATATATTCAAGAGTTTTGATTGAGATATTTAAATATATATGTAATCAAACGTTATGGCTTTTAATATAACTCACCAGAAATATATTTCTGAATTATTTGGTTAAAGATTTTGACATAGATGCATCATCAATCTATTTCACTTAAATGTAGGAAATTTTGACAAATTTAGAAATAACATTCTTTACCAAACAACAATAGTTTTAATAACTTGCTTAACAGAAGTATATAACCCATAGTCTCATTGAGTTCATGAATCGGTGGCCTATTGAAAGGATCTGTTGTGGAACTGTTTCGCCCATACATATCCCGTAATACGACTACTAAAACAGTTTGAGGATACATTCAAGTAATCAGATCAATATATGTTTTCGAAGTCATAATACTTACAAATATGGACAGGTTGTCACCGAAACTCAAGGCGTCGCTTTTATCCATGTATAAATATGATTTACTATAGATTTTTGTATTTATCGCTGTTGAGTAGTGTTGTGGATTGATTAATTTCATCTACAAAACATTTCTCTTGACTAATTAATTGTCAAACTTTTCCAACATTCGACTTCCTGTCATATTTAACCTTAATATAAGTATGAATTGTGTCAAAACAACTATAGATAAATAATATGACAATGGTAAATTCTTATTTCAATCTAACTTTAGTAATCGAGTACAGCTTTGTATGACTAGTTTCAATGCACACTTTTATTTTGTTGGCAATACAATCCAATAACTCGAAGCGTTATAATTGAATCAAAGTTCAAACCCGAAGTCTAAAGGTTAAAGATTGGGTGCTTTATGAACACAATTTAATGATTTATTTCTATTCATAATTAACTCCATAAAAAAATAACAGAGAATTCACTAAAGGTTTCATTTATTAGTACAAGAGACTACTTTTCCTGTGATTCTTTGCTAATCAAATTGTAAGCGCGCCTTAATTGTTTGACTTTTTTTCGATGACTGAATTACGGGTTAACTTATTTATTGAGATCTGGAAAATTTTTAATATCATTACTTTTTAAATAGTCAATATAACTTCCAGCTAGTAGATTTATAGGTGTGAGGATAACCATTTTTCTTTTTAGTGTTCAATTAAAGTGGCATATCTGACATTTTCGAACATCTCTTTGTTCATTTCATGCGTCAGCACTGCATGTAGGAGCGTAATTTTCGATCGGGGGTTTATTTTAGTTACCCAAGTCTTTCTCTCTCTCTCTATGTATATATATATATATCATTGTGGATACGAGATGTAAGGTATCCCAACTCACCAGATAAAAAAGAAAATAAAGCGAAGGCTTGAGACGAAAACCCCAGTGAAAACCATGCTCTTATACATAGTATGCACTCTCTAAATGATCGGAAAAACCCTAGATATTGCTTACATACCTCTAAAGGTAGTTGTGTTACAAAATCACGGATACATATGCTATATTCATTCATATGCTCAAGATTGATTGAATTGGCCTTGTTCAGATTGGCACTCAGTGCAATCAACGTCTAATGAGCTGTATATAAAGTATAGTAAAATGATATTTTTATATCAATGAATGAATTTTATTAGTATCGTTTTGTTATGTTGGTAAATCAATTGTATGTAGATATTTATCCGAATTACTGACAGATCGCAACGTAAAAGTAGTGATAATATTAGATTCGTAAAGATTTTTTTTCTTATAGTATCGACAAATGATTTCTGTTACATATTCTCACATTTTAACGCATTTTAGACTATAAATATTCTCTTTTAATTCTTTTCTGCTTAAATTCAATAATCCTAAATTGCCATAAGGATTTTGACCCTTGACCTATAAAAACTATTTCTAACCATCCTGCATCATTTGATGTATAATTATAAACCAGCATAATTCATTGAAGTCATTTCAGTGAGAAAAGGAAAAAAAATTAATAAAAATTGAGTCATTTTCTTATTTCCTATTACAATGAATCGATTCCAAATTAGTTGCAATTGACCACTATCAATGTAAAACATATTGAATTGTTAACTAACAGAATTTAATTATTTTTAGTTTTTAATCAGAGAAGGGTTTTGTGGAAATTATAGTAATTTAATAATTGAATTCATGAGTCAGTTGAAGCTAGACCACTATGGAAAACCTGGAAACACTGGATGGCTGTTTCGTCCTAGTATGGGAAGCAGAAGTGCGCACCCATGATCCCGCCTCGTGAGATTCGAACCCAGGACCTATCAGTTTCGTTTGCGAGCGCTTAACCACTAGACCACTGAACCGACATACAACGGTGTTAATGTCTAACTTTAACCAATCCACGAAGTTGCACCACCGTCCACCATTGTCTTCAGTGAATTACTATCTCATAACAGACTCGGTTGAACTCCACTGGTTAATTTTGTTCAACAAAAGTACCATTGAATGAATATATAAAAATTTTAGAATTGGAAATTATAATTCTCTTTTTCAATAGAACGAATAGAAGAGAAACCAAACCATTAAAAGTAGTATATAAAATGACCAAATGAACAGTTTCCTAAAAAAGAAAGTTATACACAGAATATATAGAATTACTGAATACAATTTTTCTCTGATATAAATTTGAATAAAGAAAAAATAAACGAATAATGATTATAGCGAAATAGTATGGTTTCATTTCATTTCATTTAGATTCTCTTCAGCTGTTTATAACCTAGAAACAATATATAATCTTAGCTATTTTAATAACAAAATGAATGTACTTACTTCTTATATGGGAACAATATTGATTAAAATTGAATTCGACAAACATAGATGTAGATTTAATTGAAAGACAATGATTAGGAAATGTATTTTTAACGGTCGTCTATATTTATATGTCTATTAATATTTTAATTAAATATTTTTGCACATGAAGTGAGTACATCGTTTTGTTTATAAATAATTAGTATTGTTTCTAGGTTCTAGGCAGCTGAAGTGAATTTGTAAAATAAATGAATCTATACTACCATGTTATACTTTCCTTATTTAAAATTGTTTAAGCTTTATAGAGAAGTCATTGATGAATACTTTGATAATTGTCAGTTAGTAAAAATGTATTTAAACAAGATTTAATTAAATTATTAATTGTTAGTACTTACATTTTTTCATATATTGGTTGTTCAAAAGTAAATTGATCAATCTATTGTCTTCTTAAATAGTTCGCTATTCATTTGTAAGTTGATTAAATCCCTGTGTTGTAGTTAACAATAAATAATAGTACGTGTTTTCCATCCATTTCTTAAGATAATATGAATATCAACAGAACAATTCAGATGTGCTTAGCAGATGTATCTCAAATGTGTCAAAACATGCTTCTTGAATTTCACTGAGAGTTAATATTCAAAATCTAATGTTGAACTGGATTTTTTTTTGACTCATAGTTTTATAATATTGGAGATTAGTATTTAAAGTGTTTAATATTTGTAAAACTGTACTATTTGATAGTCCATAAATTTTAATGTATCACTTTACATGATATGGAAATTATTTCCAAGTTGATATACTATTAAAATATGACCAATCTTAAGTGGTTAATGTGTCATTTTAGGTATTTCGTTTTTCAACTCATGATTATTGAAACTATGTGATTTTAACTTATACAACGTTCAGCTATGCTTCAATACTGTCTTCTATTCTCAATTATGCTCAACAAAAATGTTTAATGTTGTTCAGGCAAGCAAATTTCTATTACAACACATGAGTTGCAAACGTAGATCAAATCGTTTTGATTTCAAAATATTGGGAAAACTAGCGGAGAAACTTGTGAGAAAACACTACAAGTATAAAAGTGTAATATTAATATCACCTCATTGTTTAATGCACTTGAACTAGCTACAGACGCACTCATTAAGACAATTTATAACTATTCTAACACTTAAGCTTTCGGGTAACTAATTACTGGAATTAATTTATTTAGACTAATCTAACTTCATGATTTACCATTAGAAACTTCACAAACGTGGTACTATTTCTTTGTTTAAATTGAAAGAAGGAAAAGTTTGCTGAGATTTTTGATTATTTATTATGCGAATATTTTAAAAACAATAGTTTGACAGTATTAGAAGTGAAAATTGTTTTTTGGTATAACGATATGGTGAATAACTATTTGGTTTAATAATGAAAAGTAGCTAACGCTTACCCTAAATCTTTTGATGAAAATGTTGTTAATCGACAATCTGTATCTAAATATTATTGTAATTTATATTTTTATGTAAACATAGTTCGTGTAACTTTAGTATTTTGAAGAGATATTTGATTAAGTATAGATACAGAAATTCTTGTCTCACTTATTATATTTCATTAAGCAAATGTAATGATTGATTGTCTTTTTCCTCTACTTTTTATTTATTTTAATTTTAGACAAATAAAAGTGATGGTTCCAAAGTCTATCTATGCAGGCTATGTGGTTCCAGTTATAAACACAAAAAATCACTGAATAAACATTGGAAAGATAAACATTTTACAGAATTGAGTAATGCTGAAGGAAACTGTCAAGCCGACGGTGAATTGGATGAAGGTGATGATGGAGATGGAGACGATTCCGAAGGTGATGGGAAGCCATTGAACAATAGTTATAACACTCCACTTTCATCTATCGAGAATTTAAATTTAAATAAGCTGAATAATAAATATTTAGAAGGAAGAGAGAATTATTCATATAAGAGTCCTGGTTCAGTGGGACGGACTTATAGTATGAGGACTGAGAATTCTGAAAATTGTCTACCTGATCCAAATCATTTAATGTCTCGTAGGATGGGCAGTGAACAGAATGAAAATGATCTGAAAAATGATATAGTTGTTAGTAGATCCAATATGATTACAGAGCTACATAAATCTGGATATCTGTCAGTACCAGGAGATCATTCAGATCGATTTGTCGTTGGTCGTAAGCGTTTGTCAGCTATACCTTGTCATTCCCCAGTTGTTCAATCAAAGATGCATGGTCGAGTTTCTGAATGTGGAGTGAAACGTATTCGGTCGCCGAACACTGATTATACAAATCTGGGTAGCAAACGGAGACACAGTGTGGTTTCGCGTGGGAGAGAAGAATGTGCTGTTGACGTGAGAGAGAAATTTTATGAGTCATCATGTTCAAACAGGAACACTCCAGATGGTGACATTATATCCAGTTGTGTGGCAAGTCGGTTAGGTGTGAATTCTGTAGATCAACACGTGAATGAAATTACTTTAGATGAAGTGAAACCACTTGATTTATCAGTTGTAAGGGTAATGGAGACTGAAGTTGACTGTGGACGACCGTCAAGCGGAACCGGTGTTAGTCCTGGTAGCACAGTGGATTCGGTCAAGGCTGATGCTTTTATTGTAAATGATTCAGTTAAGGTACAACAAGAGGAATTAGTGTCAGTAACGCCGACTTCCACTTCAATGGAGAATGGTGGTAAGAACAAGAAAAGAGAAAGTCGTGTCAGTCGTGCTCTGCTGATTGGATTGTTGCAAACAGCACTGAGTACTTTGGAGAATGAAGTTGACGACAAAATGAGTGAATCGTATGAATCTAGTTTTGAGTTATCTACCACTTCGGCTAGTTTGCTGTTAGCTGTTGGTAGTCTGTTAGTTACTTTATCTGAGAAGAAGTCGGGTGTGTGTTCTGTTGCTGCTCCCGTCGAAACATGTGCTAGTAAGAAGAATGTAGATGAAGTGATTGAAGGAAGATTGCATTCGGGTTTTGATGGTACAACAGGTAGTGAGAAGTTGGTTAGTAGTTCTAGGGACTGTTTTCAAGTATCTTCTGATACATTTCCTCGTCTTGTTAATGACCATTCGCATTCACCAGATGATTGTACTTCTAGACCACTTGAAACTCGGAAGTTCGTTGGGAAAGTGGAAGACAGTTGTATGGATCGTATAGTAGAAAGTAGGAAGGATAGAGGATCACTTTCTGCATATGAGTATGGTATTAATGAGAATGAAATTTCATTTGAAGCTCTGGATAATGGACCACCATTAACAGGTGTGGAAGGTATGAAGAAATGTGATGGGTCGGAGCCAGTGATTATTTGTCCTGTTTGTAAATTTGGTGCACGTTGGTTCAGTGAATTGCGTGCTCACATGGTGAACCATTCTGAGCATCGAATGTTTGGTTGTTGTTATTGTCATTATCGAGCGAAGTGGAAGTGGGATGTCGCAAAACATATGCGCCGATGTCCATTGGGTCGTCATGTTTCTCACTTACAGAATGAAGCATTATTGCGTATAGTCAGATATTATCCACCTCCAGAAGATGATATTTTGTATAGTTATTTTCCGCAGAATGGTTTTCCAGGTGTTGGAGTTGATCATCCTCCAACACCACCGATAAATTCAGTGAAACGTAATGATTATGAACGAGTTCGTGCATACGATTGTGAAAGTAAAGATTGTTCATTATTTCCGGGTCGTTTGTGTGATGAGAGTGAGGTAGGAGGTATGGTTAGAGGATTAGTTTGTGAGAGGAACGTGGGAAGTGAGAATAATGATGCGTCGATATCGGTATCCGCTGCTAACAATGGACATGAGTGTCATGCACTTGAAGGAGATGTAGTTAAAGATGTTGGGGACTGTGAAGAAAATGAATCTGGTGATTTGGTGATAGTAGATGATGGTGACGATGTAGAAAAGATATCTGAAGTCAGTGGTGACGTAACAAGTATAAACGGGTCGAAAGAACGTATTTGTTCTACCAGTGACCAGTGTAATCGACAAAACGAAGATGAGGTGAGTGTTCATGTGTTTATATCTCATTCCTATAATTACAATCATATTTGCTTTTAGATTAATTTCGAATTTAATTCCAAGTCAAAAGTCACTTGATTTCTTGGAATATTTATGAGATGATGACTTGATATTTCATATATTTCGACCTGTTTATTGATGGGCTAACTTAGCAGATAGTGTCGTTATTTATCTTGTTCTATGAAGCTTGGATTTTTATTTTATGTAGACTGTAATTGTAAATATTCTAATATCAAACTTCATGCAAAACACTTTTAGTAAGCATTTTTAAAATTAATATCATAACTACTGTTGTGTTTCTTTTTTAATTATTCACTTATGTATGGATTATGATAAACATTTGACTTATATTATTATTGTTCACTTACTATCTTTAGGATACTAATAAATCTGATCTAATATGTCGAGTACGCAAATGTCCATTATGTGAATTTCATTCTACAGATACAATTGAATTTCAAACTCATTGGAATTCACACTGTCCTTATACAAATGAAACAGTGAACTTAACTAAAAGTTGACGTTATATTAAAAAAGAAAATTATTCATTCAAAAACTTTCACTTTTCACTATTTAGTTAACTTGAAGCCTACAATTCAGATGTATATAGATATATATATATATATATATATATATATAAGTTTCTTTATTATTGATTTAAATACTTTTCCTAGTATTTTTATGTGGATGAATCACAATCACTGTATCATTCAAATCCTCATATATTTCTAATTTATTACTCTCTCTAGTTTGTGTATATACGTTTCATGAAAGTTTGTAACTTCATTCTAGTGGTTTGGTTTTTTGTTTGTTTGTTTGTACATGTATTGAATTATTGGAGAAAAAATTATTGCAAATAAAATTTATTTTTTCACTCTTCACAATTTACATTTGTGAAATATGTCATTTTGTTTTATATTCATGATTAGCCATTGATATTAAAGATCTGTTGGCTATGGTCTGTTTTTTTGTGTTGTTGTTGAAAGTGACCAGTAACTTGAGTGCTGTTTACTGGTAGTTTACAATTTTCATCGACCGTTTGTTAAGTTCAAGGACATCAGTTATATTCAATATAATGTTTGTTACAAAACATTTAGATTACCACATTCTGTTGAATATTTCATGCAGATTGACATGTCATAACTTGTAGTGTTTAGTTAATTGTTTTTTTTTCATACTTAACCAGCGTGGGATCAGTCTGTGCTTGTTAATATCACTACACATAACAGTTCGTGCCTTGATAATAACGATAAATTACTGTAGTAGTTATTCCTAATTATGGATCAATTGTGTGCGGTCAATAGGTTTTTCGAGTTTTAATTCATCTTCTGTTGATAACCTACAATTACTAAAAAATCTCTCCAAATCTTTCAATCATTTGTAATAAATATTGACACGATATTTATTCAAAAATTTTTATGATTAACCTGCACAGTTAAACCCATCTTACTTGAGTTTTTATACTTCAAAGGCCAAAGAAACCTTTTAGGTAAACACGAGTTTACAAATAAGCTGTCAGTTGTGAATTTTAGCTCATGGCACGGCAGGGCTTGGTAGATATTAGTTATATCAGTAGTAAGAAATATAATCACATTACTTACTAATTTGTGTTTACAACAAATACTTTTCAGCAAATAGGCTTGGAATATTGTAACAAGTTTCTTTGATATTTTCCACTGTGTAAATATTTATTACATGAATTTTAATATAGTTGATCCTAGTGATTTCGAAGGACATACTGAGATAAAATTACCCATGCGATGGTTTTTTCGATGGAATTTCGTAGTAGTTTGTTTTACAATGAGTTTTAAATGTTTTACATGAGTGCATAATTACAAGATATGGTCAAAGTCCACAATTATTCAGTTAAAACAAATCTAAAATTAGAAAGTTGGTCCCAACAATTGCATGTTTTGATAACAGTTGGCCTAGTAGTTTGGGTGAACTACTTGTTTTTATATGATTTTCTACTGATAAATTACTTGGATAACACCGATAATTTTCATGTTTCAATCAAACCATAAAGGGATTAGTGGCTGAACGATAATAACGCATCCAATTGTAGTTACTTAAATGTCGGTCCAATAGTAATAGAACTAGTAGAGTGCGGAAACTGATGCAAACCATCTATCTTTCAGAAGAATCGGACTCAGAATTATTTGGGAATCATACTGTTTGTATTATTACTTCATGAAACAAAAAACTTGTAGACAATTAGCTGTTAATTCTATTACAGTAGTTATAAAAAAGTCTAATTCTAGATAATATAAGAAAGTAGACACCATTTGCATTTGAACTCGTGATGGTTGTTTTAACTCTACCGGCTATTAGTTATCGAAGATGTACACGGATCTGTTGATCATCATATGTACTGTCCAGCTGCTGTTCGTTTTAGTTAACTCACGGCACTTTTGTTTTAGTGACCACGATTAATGCTACGGTTTCTAACAAGTCATGGCTGAAAAAAGTCATCTAAAGGTGGGAAATTCCAACAACAACCAAATGAGTAACTTGACAAAGTTGACTGATGATTACATTTAAGTAGTACGAAAAACTGATTTCTCTATCGTGAAGTATCAAGGTACCTAAATGATCACAACTGATCATTATGGGTTTTGGTTAACCTAGTAACTATTCCCTTTTATGTTAAATTGAAGTGAATGTTTTACCATCAATTTCGGAGGAGTTAACTTGAATCCCAATTGTCACATCCATGTGATTAATTTTGTAATATTGGGTCAATCATGTTAAAATCTTTTAAAATCTCCATCTAGTGAACAGTTTCGGAAAGTTGAACTCGTCTGAATTTGTAGATTACAATGTAATAGATGGTAATGAAGTTAAAATTCAGCAACATTTTCTGAAATTTAATAGTTTGCTAAATATTAACAAGTAAATGAAGGTTATTATATCGGAAATAGTGCAGTTCTGAGATCATATTTTCTCAATTCATTATATTATCATAACAAAAGAAGTGAATTGCACAGATTCTCATCCATAAATTCCAGTCAGCATCATATTACATGAGAAATAGTAAGACCATAGATGCAGTTGTTTATTATATACATATTATGACAGTGGATGACTCAGATAATGAAGTGTCAAGCTTTGTTGAATACTTGTTAAAATTCCACGTGATTAGAGGATACCGAGAAATACTTAAGTAATTATAATAGTGTATCATAAATTGGTTGAAGGTTCTGTCACATGACTCAGGTGAAATTAACTAAATCACAAGGCAGGAATTTTCATGATACGAAGTAATGATCTAATGGTAAACCAGTTTTGTAGACATACAAAACCAAAATAGTTTCTGGTTGCTTACGCGTTAGTTAAAATGTTCGTTGATGACCAAATAGTGTGGAAAAAGTCATCTATTTCAAATAAGTTTATTTAATATACTCTAAGCTTCTTCCGAACTCATGTTCAACTGGAAATGTCTACGTTCATTAACTTTCTACGAACGACGTCCATGTCTTTTTCTTTATTGTATTACATAATACTATTCATTATTATTAAGTAGTTTGAGTTTATTTCTAAGAACTGAAGACAAACAAAACAGCCACTGTCAATTTTGAGTAAAAGTGGTGATATGAAGATTGACATAGAGCAGTTCGAAACCTGGTGCATGACTTGGAAAAAGTATGAAAATTATAAATTCGCAACTTATTTCATAACATTCACCAGCAAAGAAGCTCATAACCTACCAAATAAGCTGGATTTTCCTTATAAACAAGTCTCATTGTCATTATAAGCAAAGATGGATAGTGGCTAGCAGTGAACTCCAGGACGCGCGTTTCGTCCTGTTTGGGACTCGTCAGCTGGATGTACCTGCATCTCCGAGTTGATGTTCACTCTGGGACTCAGACTCAGTACCGTTCGCTTCAAACGCCATCGCGTTATCCACTTAGCTACTGAGTCCTGCTAGCCACTTGCTTGTGCAATGGGTTGAAGTTTATTTCACTTCATATTGTTTTACTTGAATCCATCTTTGCTTATAATGCTTGTAAATTAAGGCAATATCGAGGCATACGCACAGTATGCACATATGCCAATAAGAGACCGATCAATTTCAGTCCTAAAACATCAATGGGAAGATTCAAGTAAAACAATATCAAGTGAATTAAATCTCATTGTCGTATACATCACTCAGGGAATTAATACCTAGTGTAGTGAAGTCTGATAGCTTTGAATGAAGAGATAGATCGAAGTTTCCTAAAGTGATGCCACAGAACGATCAGAAAGTTAAAGACTTTATACTGGAAGTACAGACACAATCAGCGAAGTGCAATGTTGGAGAACAAATGACAACTCAAATTCGTGACTGCTTGATTGCTGGTATAAATATTCAAAATTTAGAAAGTGAAGTAATTCTGAAGCCTAAACGTTCATTCCAAGAAATAAAAATAGCATGTGTTAACTACGAGGCAGTGAATGGGCTTGATTTTCAATCACTGAAAATTTCTAATACTTCTCTTAGTCATCGTGATGAACTTCATTCTCAATGACGTTCGAGCTCACGTTTGGTTAATAATGGTTCTGATTCTCGTGAAAATATAAAAAGTGAGTTGCAAAGCAGGTTATAGAAGTGAGCACAGTTTTAGTAAATGCTTATCCTATGGTAGATTTCGCTTATGTAACTCATGTGTCTTTGTTATATCTAGAAGGTTGTTCTTGATATACCGCGTATAACGTGAGCACTAGAACGCCAAAACACTCCCACGTCGCAATGAGAAGACAGAAGACTGATGAAAGGAATATTATTCCCAGACAGTGTTGGTTATAGTACAAAAGTGTCAGGTATTTATAGTTTTTAGTAAGAACGAAATCATCATTACAGTCCTCTAATCCACATACAGGGGAAGCTACATGTAGGAATTCTAGTATATTCTTCCAAAAGGTGATTGGATGAAATATCTTCGGCTCCTTCTGAGCCTCTTACAGCTTCCTCGAGTTCACCCGTGTTCTGTCGCCACACCTTCCTTCTTTAAACTCTGTTGTGTAAGACTTTTTTCTCGGATCCACCTGAAACTTGGTTGCCACATTCCTCTTGCGGTCCATCACTCTCGAGGGTTGTACTGCTTTGCCCTTGCGTTGTTTACATCTTCTATGTTTGCGCGCCTGAGGGCAATTCTGAGATGAATCTACGAGCAATTGAAATGGGAGTCGGCTTTCTGGGAACACTGTACTGACGTCTCTTCGCATTTGATTTATGTGTCTTATACATTTTCCGACACCTATCCGGACTACGTACAGTAAATTT